CCCCCCCCCCTCCAGGACACAGGCGGTGTTGTTCGTGCAGCAACGGTTGGCGGCCCTCCCTTGTCATCTCTTATCTTAGGACGACACTAGCGCCGCGGAGGCGGTGGCAGACACATGTACCACGAGGATGGTATTTCGATGTCTCGACCGCTCGCCCGCCGCTCACGTGTTGGCGGCCATATAAGCGCTGTGTGCATCTCGTCAATGAATAAAGAAAAACGAGACCGGTCAGAACGAGGGCGAGAAACATGATATGTGGCGTTTGTATCAGAACGAGAACGAAAAAAAACAAAACAAAAAACAACCCAAACAAACAAAGTCGCAGAACAAACGGAATTGGAGACATATTTCTGTCGTTTTTCAGGCACAATTAACGACCGGACGTATAAAGCTTTTAATCAGTCGAGACTCGTAAATTCCCGAACACACACAAATACTTTTTCCTTTCTCCTACTTCTCCGTCGCCGCCACCCTTGCGCTCATTTACCCCCTGAGCGTTCTGTAAGAGGGGAGTGGCAGAGTGCGAGACAACAGCCCCCCCACCCCTACCCCCGTTTCCCCTGCTTTTCGGGTCGTAGGCAAACTTCTCTGGATAACGTCCAAGGGGCGCTTGGTGCTGCTGCGCACGACGCCGAGACAGAAAAATGTTGCTATCTCCTCAAAGTACTGGCCGGCTGGATCAGTATATCAAATACACGGGAGCTCGCCCCTTCCCCCGCTCCCCTCTTCCTGAACTCTGTAAGAGCGCGGTGCTGTGCTGCTGGGATGGGGAGGGGGGAAGACCACCACGTCGAGACTCGACCCGCATAAGAATCGTGGCTGAGAAACATGGCTCGTCCCTGACGGACTGTAGTGCGTCGCAGAGAAATCACGTAAGGAGAACACACACACAGACAAAACTTCACAAAAGTACGGACGCTCGATTTTTTTTCTCTCTGTAGGATAGTGTGTCTGTGTGTGTGTGTACCCCTCCGTTCCGTCCGACCCTCCTCCCCGCAATCATAGTGTGTACTCGGGTGCACACAGCCGTGCGGAGAGGACGAAAACAATGAAGAAAAGGGGGCAAGAGTGGTGCAGGCAGGGGGGAAAGGAGGGGGGTTAGGCAGGAAGGGGCACTATTTAGAGACCAGCGGCCCGCACTTAACATTTAAGACGCCCTTACGGAGCGACCCGACCGGCCCCTCCCCTCTCCCCCCCCCCTTTTCCCCCCTTTCCCCTATTATTTCTACGCTCCAGCATTTGTCCGCACAATGTATGCAAATTGTGGCTTCGGTTATTCGGCTGGCGCACATCTGGACCAAGCCGCGGCTTCCGAACCTCGCAGTTTCTAGTTTTATTTTAGTTTCGCGGAGATGTGTTTTATCCATGTTGCTAAATTTGGTAGAAAAACGCACAACATCTGTAATGTACTCTGAAAACTGAACAGTGTACATTGTATGCTGATAAATCAGCCACCATTTATATTTGCTGATATATCTGTGTACAAAGCAAAGATAGCATTTCCGGATTCCTCGTGAAAAAAACATTTTTAAATGAGCCAGTATTTGATAGGGTTCACTTTCAAAATGGCCCGCCGCGCCGCTCGAATAATGACGGTAATGTAAACCACGTTATGGTAACGATCAAGTTGAACACTATCTTTTGAAAGCTCTTTTCACGATGAATCTGGAAATGCTTTCCATTTGCTAATGTTGTCCACCTGAAAGGAAATATTAGACAAAAACCTAAACCTGATCATTACAGCAGATATATCAGCAATCATCAATGATTGCTTACCGACACGGTGTAGAGACCTTGCTTACCGAACATACCACTCGAAAAAAGAACTCGACTGACGTTATATATAACTTTGAGTTTATAACTCAACAACCATCGGACTCGTGCCCGTTCGCTTACGTCTATCACCGTTCGCACTATGCTCGTGATAAATGACTCCTTTGTTGCTGGTCGAGTGGACCCGGGTAGGGCCGCCTGCCGACTTATGGCAGTGCCATGATCGGCCTGTCCATTAGTGCATTGGCAGCGCCAGGCTGCGGGGAGGGGGGTTATGATGGCGCCCGTGGTTTGGCCGAGTACCAGTTTGGCGCGTGGTTTACAACGCTCCCGCCGCACGTTACCTTCACGGAGGGCTCTTCTTCCTTTTGCGAATTACGGCACTGCTAGCACTTTTTTTGCGACCGCCAAAAGACGTAAAAACGAAGTACACGAGAGGAATATGCCAGCTGCGTTATTTTCACCATCTTCCCTAAAATAATAACGAGATGAGAACCTAAGAGAGGGGGGAAAAGAGAAGGAGAATCACTGAGGGATCGAAAAGTTTTCAAACAGCAAGGTAACGAACGTTCCTTTCCTTTTTGCAGAGTCGCTGCAGGGGCCGCACGAGAAGAGGCTGCTCCACTCGCTGCTGGACCACTACAACGTCCTGGAGCGGCCCGTGGCCAACGAGTCGGACCCCCTGCAGCTTAGCTTCGGGCTCACGCTCATGCAGATCATCGATGTGGTGAGTATACATTTTTACAATTCTGCAACAACCGTCAATTCTTTCAGCGTCCGTGTGGAGGTGCTGCTGGGCTGTAGCGGTCTCGAGTCCTTAAGTCCCGACCGGACTCGGAATGCAAAGCTTTCAATATTCATAAAATGTCTGCAAAATTGAACCTATTTTCGAAAACAATACTTGAACTTGAAACTCAAACGGAGTTTGCTAAGGAGTGTTGCTCTTTAAGCTGACCATTTTGCCATTTTTCAGAAAAAAAAATCTGGGGGCGTTAGATATTCGACCATTACCAATGTGTGAGTGAATTTTGTTTCACTTCATCTCATTTAACAAAGGAACAACATCAGAATGCAACTCCAGACCCATTTTCATTGTCTTGGTAGCCTGAACCTACAGGAAAGCTGTTGTCTATTTTAAAAGCTTGCGCGCAAGATTTCCCCGACAATTATTGGTTTAAAAATCTGCACTAAGGTTTTCCTGAATGAGAACGACAAGGACTATAAAATGACACAGGGGTTTTAGTATACTACCTAAAATAAAAATATTTCATTTGTAATATAACAAAATTAAATTTAAGAAGTTTTAGTAAATTGTAAAATAAAAAAATTCAAGATTGTTTTACATATTATACTAAAACCCCTGTGTCATTTTATAGTCCTTGTCGTTCTGATTCAGGAAAACCTTAGTGCAGATTTTTAAACCAATATTTGTCGGAGGAATCTTGCGCGCAAGCTTCTAAAATAGACAACAGCTTTCCTGTAGGTTCAGGCTGCCAAGATCATGAAAATGGGTCTGGAGGTGCATTCTGATGTTGTTTCTTTGTTAAATGAGATGCAGTGAAACAATATTCACTCACACATTGGTAATAATCATTGGTAATAGTCATATGACTAAGGCCCAAGAATTTTTTTTTCTGAAAAATGCCAAAATGGTCAGCTTAAAGAGCAACACCCCTTAAATTTCAATAAAAATTCACGACGGAAAAAATGCACGGAAATGGAGGTGAATTTTCCCTAGGGGGATCATCCCGACAAGAACGTCTGTCATTCGCCGTTGCGAACCTGCCAAGGACAGCCTTAGCAAGCTCTCATAGCGCCTTACAGGTAGGCAACATCTTGCCTGCAGGGCATGCGTGTACTGCGGGGCGGCCTACCCCGAGTCCCGCAGGCGCTAAAAGCTCCCGTGATTTGCCGAATGAATCTGAGAAAAAATAAATCGGGCGGAAGTATTTTCTGGACGATCCCTTGAGGGCGCCCCTCCTACCCCGAGACAGGGCACAGGGTACCGGCGGCCATACCTTACGTGGGCGGTTTACATTTCATTAGGGCCCGGCCAGGGACCGGCCTGGACCCGGTCGCCCGCTAACGCGTGTTATTGCGGCCGTCTCATGTATGGCGCGCTGGCAGATACACTGACGGACGGACCGACGGACCGTCAGACGGACGGACAGACGGACAAACTTAATCAGGTACGGGGGCTCGTCAATAAGGAACACCCCCGAGGCCAAGCAAGCAGGCTGCAGCTCAGCACGCAGCCGGCTGTCGTGATGGAGCCAGCCATCTCGTTGAAACAACCGTGCAGCGCGAGCATTGTGCACACACTCTTCCCTATTTACCGCGCTGAAAGGCATCGCGGGGCCCGCGTCGTCCTCCCGCCGCACACCTTTCATACCGACTCGCTTCGGCCGCTTTTGCTGCTGTCTTGCCGTGAGCGCAGCCCTCCGGGTTTTTGACAGCTTTGGTTCTTTTCCTTCGCACTCCCCCCCCCCTTTCCCCTTCCTCTCCGCACTGCTGCACAGCGCACTTCCTCATCCAATTTATCCCCCCCCCCCCCCCCTCTCCGGCGCCTCACTTCTTTCTCTCACACCTCACCGCATCGCCACTCCCGCTTCATTCGTCTTTTTATTTGTTTTCGCTTCGCCACCTCCGTCTTCGGGGCGCCGCATCGGACGTGCGTCGACTGCATACAGGTGTCAGTAGTACCTGGGGCCTGGCCTGGCCTGGCCTGGCCCTGGCCTGGCCGGGGCGCTCTGGGCGTGCCCTCTACCGACCACCGACGGCACCCTCACCCGCCTCTCTCCTTGGGGCGCTAGAGCTGACTGCGTAGGTGCCAGTACCTGGAATCTGGCGCACCACCATGGCACCCCGCCCCGCGCCCCGCCCCGCATCCCGCATCCCTACGCGTCGTCCGTGAGAGCTAGAGGGCTTAAGTACGCCGTCATTTCAATCCATGCGAAGTCAAATCGCCTAACACTTGTTTTGGTTAACTCATGATGCTATATTCGTTTCAACGTGACTCAGCCAGATAAATTCTTCAGTCACATGAAAAAAAAAATGTGGCAGTTTTTCGTGGGTAAATTGAATGTGAGGTCACATGAATTGAAATGACAATGTGATTTATCAGGCAGTCGATTGGGGGGAAGGGAGCTATCAAACTTCATGTCGTCAGTCCAGGTATCCGCAGTTCCAGCCCCCTTTCCTACGCCCTTCCCGTGCTCCCGTGCCGCCACCTCTGAGCCAAGCCCCAACTACAGCCAGCCCCTAACCGTTCCTAGCGAACTCTCCCGTGCGCCCCCCGACACGGTGTAGAGACCTTGCTTACCGAACATACCACTCGAAAAAAGAACTCGACTGACGTTATATATAACTTTGAGTTTATAACTCAACAAC